GACGACAAACTAGTTCTCTACCCCGGCGGGTGTCGTCTTGTCGATGGGGATCCTCCGAGATGGGAGCGGATTCAAACTCCCATTCACAATGGTCGCTACTCCACCTGTGCTGTCCATCAGGGGAAGATTTATTGCTTTGGATCGTATGATGTGGTTCCTGAGGTATTTGATCCCCTTGATGGTAATTGGCACAAATCCCTCCTATCTAACCCGCCTCATTCAATTCGGGATCTAAGGGTATATAGTCCCGTCCTCCCTCATCCTTCCAAACATCGTATCCTTATTCACCTTTCTGATGGTTCCCTCTGGGCTTTCTATCCTCCAACCCGTCTCTCTACTTTTGCTTGGGGGCGTGTTGCCTCCCATTTTGATCATTGGGGCGATGTTGTTGCTCTTTATGAAAACCTCATTTTCATTCATGATGTTTATACTCCCAGTTCTTTCTTTGTATACGATTTAGACACCTCTAAATGGCTGGATGTAGTTTGGTCCTCAGAAACCTGTATCAACTATGGCTATAATATTACGTGCGTTTGTTTTGATTCCTTGCATTGTGTGGGCGATGGGGTGTTCTGGGCGGCTTCATGGTCGCCCTCAATTGAACATAATGAGCCTGTCTATATTTATTTCCTCAAGTTCAAAGCAGAGTACGTCCCAGCAACTTCAACCATTCGCCTCACTCCTCTTACTTCTCAGATGCATCCTATTCCAGGAGACACTGTCGATCATTTCCTATTGCTCCCACCCTAGCTAGAGGTACGTGTTTTATTTTTCTTTTCCTTTATTTGTTCTATCCCCTGGCTGATAATATAGTGTGTGTGTGTGTGTATTCCTTTTAAAAAGTTTTTTTTTTAAAAAAAGAAGATAAGAAATGACATAAAACACAACACAAATGACATAAAACTACATCAAAGAAAAACAAGAGTTCTGTTTTGGCTATGTTCAACTTAACTCCAACCCAAAAGAACATGTGGACACTCACTGCATTTATGGACTTGCAATTCTCAAGCACAATGATAATATTGTGTCTGTGTGTGTGTCTATACACACACACACACACACACACACACACTCCGTATATATTTTATATATATATATATACATACATACATACACACACACACACATATATATATATATAGCCAGTCACAGTGATGTAAGATGAAATCCCATTCATCAGTTCAAAAACTTGGAATCACATCATTCCTTATGCATAAAATGCTTCCAACATTTAATATAAAAAATTCAAGACAATATAGATACCATTGCAATATATATTGTAAAAAAATTGCACAATACCAATTCCATTGCATGGAGATCCCAAGCCATGAGCCATCACTATTGCCACCCTGGGTTGACTCCTACTCCGATAAGCTTGTTATACATTTCTATAGGCATCATGAAGTTAGTGATTCCCTTAGACTTCATATCATCTTGCACATTAGAGATCTTTCTAGGGAACTATATTTTTCAGTAAAATACCTTAACATTATCAAACCTTCCACCAAAAAGATATTAACCAGTTTGGAGGTAAGCTTCCGGTCATAAATCAACACGGATGCTGATTTGGCCAAATTTTAAGCCAAGTCATGAACATTTAAGCCAATTCATGCTAATTGAGACGGAAGAAAGAATTATGAGGAACAGGAAATGCCAAGGGAACTTGACTGTAAATGTTTGAGAGGGATTATACTTTTTTGAAATGGGTCCTCTCAAATTCCTTTTTTTTTTCATACATGAGATTTGGTACAAGAGTTAAATTCTGGAACTCAACTGTAATTCTATGTACCCCCAAACAGAGCTTCAAAAAATTTGCTCCAAGGAGATGCTTCCTAGTAATTCTTCACATTATCTTTAAAGTGGAAGGCCAATGTACCAACTGTGCCCAAATATTCTACTCCAAGGAGGAGAGCGTAAAAAGTTGTTAGCCCTGTGAGCAGAGTCTCTGTATATAGCTCCAAAATTATTGTGAGCAGTCCATAAGAGCATTCACAATGGGAGGATTCTCCCCATCCATCTCCATTGCGATGTCATCATACCCTTTTCTGTGCCAAGACAAAACACACGCAATGCTATCGCTTTCTAGTCACGCGTTTCCTTTTAATGCTATTGCTCTCTATTCATAGTTGAAATGAAAAAGATATTGTTTGGATTTTTAAAGTATAATTTTATACTTTAAATTGTTGAAATAAACAAAAAGTAACCCCCCCCCCTTAGCGGAGAGGCGATGAGCTGGTACGCTGCAATCACCCCCCACTCCCCAAAAAAGAGTGCCTGTGGGTCTTCCCCCTCCTCATTGTAAATGCTCTAATGCCATATTTGCATTTGAGTGTTTTGTTAATAGAAAACCGTGTTAGATAACCTTCATAAAGGAGAAGTTTCATTTTTTATGCTAATAGAAAAGCGTTTTAGATAACCCATAGAATTATTTAGGACAATAATGCTTTGGATGTTTTTTCAATTAAGTACTAAGGTAAGAAAAAGATGTCACAAGGAGAAGAACATACATACATACATACATACATACATACATACATACAT